GAGAGAGAGAGAGAGAGAGAGAGAGAGAGAGAGAGAGAGAGAGAGAGAGAGAGAGAGAGAGAGAGAGAGAGAGAGAGAGAGAGAGAGATCTTCTGCTTCCTCCTCCTCCAGTCCATCGCTCTTCTTCCTCCCCTCCAGCGCTCTATCCCCCTCCTCCTTCGTCAGACTATGAGAGAGAGAGATTTGCGACATTGAGACTTAGACTTGACATATGAGCAGCGGCATTGTGGGGAACTATTTTGGGATTGGTATCGACGACACTTTGGGTTGGCGACATCTCTCCTTTCTCCCCCCTCTTCGTCTCTCCTCCCTCCTCATCTATGTATGTTGGTGCCTAGCACTTAGTCTCTGTGTTATAGCACCAGGTCCCCCTCACGCCGTGTGATAATGATGATGATGATGTTCGGTCTGTGTCGCGACATTGAATGTGTCTGATTATTGGTATTTCAGTCTTCCGCTGTGCTATCCTTACTCCATCTGCGAGAGGTTGGTTCTTCGGTCTGGTCTGCGCCACTTGGCATGTGACTGACACCTGTGAGTACCCTCCAGTTCCATACCTATCCCACCCAATTTTCTCCGAGTACATTGGATACGGAACATAATATCTGCCTGGGGCGCACCGCTTCAGTGGTGGACCGGTGGGGTCTAGCAAACTTACCAGAATATCCCTGCACTGTCCAGTTTATAACCGAATTTGTCCACCCTAGCTTTGCATCTGCCTCACTGGCATTTGGACTGTCACCTTGGAACGACCAAAGACCGAGTACGTGTACTTCTCATGCCCCAGAACTTCACGGATTTGCTGTCAAGGATGCGCTCATGCTCAGAACTCAGAAATATTCAGTGATCTCAGACAGGTATACCTGGACTTCTCATGGCCCAGAACTTCACAGATTTGCTGTCAAGGATGCGCTCATGCTCAGAACTCAGAAATATTCAGTGATCTCAGATCGGTCTGAGTATTTACAGCAAAACTCAGCAAAAAGCTCAGAAATATTCAGCGATCTCAGACCGGTCTGAGTATTTACAGCAAAACTCAGCAGAAAATCAGGAAACGCAGGCTGAAAACATATTCGTTCATTGTGTATCTCTCCGCCATCCTTTCCATATGGTATTCATTTTCCAGAATTCTTGCATCGCGCTCTCAAGACTGTGCAGTGTGCAATTGGCATCCCTTCATCTCTCAATGTTTCTCAGTCAGAAGTAGAAGGTTCGGTTTCGCTTAAACCACCAGTACTTACTGGAAGTCTGGCTATTAACGGTGCCGACGAGCGCTGGAATGAACGAGCCTGCTGCGCTGGGCTATATGCATCTGAAGCGATCTGTCCTCGGCACTGTAGCAATGGCTGGCCRTTAACACGCCGTTCACTTTACTTACTGAAAGTTTGGCTATTAACGGTGCCGACGAGCGCTGGGATGAACGAGCCTGCTGCGCTGGGCTATATGCATCTGAAGCGATCTGTCTTCGGCACTGTAGCAATGGCTGGCCATTAACACGCCATTCACTTTCTTAAGTACTAGTGGTTTAAACCCCCAGTACATCGCCCAGGCAAACTTGGGAATCGAAATTGAGCCAACCCACAGATTTGGGGTGAACAGTGCCACCAGACCAAAATGGGTGGCTGTGCCAGCCAGAAACGAAAAAAAGTGTGCCGCTGGCGGTTCGACGAAGCATGATATCCAATGCCAATCTGCCTCGGCAAGACGGTGCTCAGAGGTACTGGAGCTGAAAACCACTTGTGCTACACATGGTATTTTCACCTGAAGCAAAATTTTCCCATAGATCGTATATCGGACCCACTGCAGGCAGGCTGCATCGAAAGTACGGACTTTGTGTTAGCTGGCGGTACAGTGAAAGTGCCCCACGTCACGCTGGTGGCGAAAGCAGCTTTATAGGAGCAACCACCAATGCAGTGTTTCGGCTTCAGATGGTGTTGTGAGGACAGTCTCCCTTTCTTATGACATTTGGGTGGTTCGGTATCTCCTTTACGTTTTGCGGGATGATGGAGTGAGTGGCTAATCATTCTTTGCATTACCTGTGGGTGTGTACTCAAATGTGTGTGGAGTTTTGCAGATGATGACAATGTTGAGCCAATAGACGAGTCAACGGTGCAAACTTTCTTTGGATCAACTCAGGTGCGTGGAATCTTTAGTCATCTCAGTCTTGGGACAATAGGCTACACTAGTGGTGCTATGTTTGTGGTGAAGAAATCAAGAACGCGTCCACTTTTCCGACCACGTTCGTGCTCCCTGAGCACGAATACAGTGCCAGTGGAGCGTGGTTATTAATCTCGTCTGGGCTGGTAGAAAGGGGGACAGGGGGGGGGCGGAAAGCTCTGTGGGGTCGGAATGTAGTGAATCACCAATCATTGCCATTTTTCGTATATGCTGTCAACACGTTCAACGAAATGAATAATTGGCATTTGTGCCTATCTATGACTGCAAGGACAAAGGACGCGGAAAACTTGGGAAAGTTGTGTAGCAAGGATTCGAAAGAAAGCTCCGGAGGTTCCTTTGTCTGAATGCTTTGTGAGCGATTCATATTTGCGGCTCCCACTGGCGCTTGGCGATTTGAAGTTGCAAGAATTTGAGAAAAGCGTAAAAGAGGTCATTCTAACTGTTGCAAGAAGTGGAGAAAAGCGTAAAAAGTTCATTTGAACCGACACAAGAACATGTGGAAAGCGTAAAAGACTTGAAAAGAGTTCATTCTAAGGTGTCATACTGACACAAGGCTGTCAAAATCACAGAATCAGAAAATCAGTGGCTTGATCGACGACGCCTTTCAGAAGGACCTGATCTAGCCGCTGATTTTGTGATTCTGCGATTCTGAGCGTCTAGTGTGAGTACACTCCAACTTCTATACTGTTTCAGGTACCCCCCTTGTTGCGATTCTGATTTTGCGATTCTGCGATTCGGAATGTGTTTGTCAACGAGATAATTGAAGTTGTGTCTGTGGATCTTCCTGCCCAACAGGAGATGTCGAATAATACAGATCATGGTTACATTCTCTTCTACGAGTGTCAGAAGCCAGAGCTGCTACAGCAACAGTCAGCCCAACATCAGGTACCCCCCTTGTTGCTCCTTTTCTCCCTGTTCCAGCTGTCTTTTGATCTCCCTCCCACCGGTTTAATTTTTTTTCAAATGAAAGTGTCGATTCTCGACCAGGGTTGCCAGTCCATAACAGACACACAAGTTGGGGGGTGGGCGGGGGGATCGCCCTTTCTGCGAGAAGAGAAGCGGCCCGGCGGTGTTCACAACGACAAATAACTGTGTTCACAACGACAAATAACTGAAAATAAGAGGGCTCTTTACAGTTGGTGCCTTGGTGAGGGCAAGGTCTAGCTTTTAGCTCTCAAAGGCTTTGGAGTGTCGAATCGAGAGCGATGTTTCATTCGCCCTGGTTTCTCACTACTACCGTCTTCACCCGAATATAATAATGGACGGTCATTATCAGCGTATCCAGACTGAAAGTTGCACCAAATACAGGTATAATGACCGGGTGTTCTAGTCTCAAGATGTTGCAAGTGGAACTGTTGGAGCTCTGTGGTTTACATGATGAGCTGGGTGAACAGTGAAGTCATGCTTTGTTTTCTTTGTTTTTTGTTTTCTTTCCCTCGTTTAATGACTAGAATACGTTTGGAGTCTTTGGACCTTTCATCCTTGATGGAGTTTCGATTTCAAGTCAATATCTATCACGAATTTATAACTGATCGCGTTCAGGAGAGCGCCGTGTTAGGCCTGTCAAGGCAGACCCGAACTCTGATTTTCGTTTAGTGATTTACTAATCTACTTCTTTGCTGAAAGGATGCACGTGTCTCAGGGTCCTCTCCCTGCTACCAAGTCCCAATTCGAAGGCACGTTGCAATTTCCACCGTAGACCCTTAGGCCGTAGAGTAGGCCTTGTTCTTGGTCTTCTTCTTCTTCTCCTTCTTCTTCTTTTCGTACATCTTAGTCGTCGTCGTCTTTTCATAGCGTGCTAGCGGGGCCTTTATGGTGCACCGAGATGTGGGCAGGTTGCGCTCTATCAAAATCAACTTGGCAAGCCTTGCACATTAGAGGCACAGCAAAAGGGGAGCTGCAAGAAGAAACAAAAGGGGTACCCCAAAGAAAGCCAAAGTAAAGAAAGCGAAGAAAGAATTTTTTGTACAAGGAAAAGGCAATGTAATCGTTACATTGTGCATCATGTTGTTTGCTATAGAGGTGAAAGTTCCTTGGAACTTTTTCAATTTCGGATCTGCTCATCCGGGTGGTAAAGGGGTTGTTGTGGCGACCGTCTACAACATACACACAGGCATACACACACGCACAGACAGCGGCCTCATTTGTCCTTGGGCAGCATGATCACTGCACCCCCTGCAGGGCTCAGCGATCTACTCCCACGCCATGCTCGCAACCGTGCGGAATGACGTTGTTGCTCTCAAATATACACTAGCCGTGAATAGTACACATCGAGTCCAATGCCAACAATGTGGCGATGACTTCTTCAGTGCTGCAGGCCTGCGTGTGCACCAGGCACGGTGTGCAGCCACCTGTGCAGCTTTTGCACGACTGGCAGCCACTCTGAGCACAAGTGCAGCTGATGAGCTTCCACTTCCTGCATCTGACCCACCCATTTCTCGTCCACCTATCGCCGCCTGCTCCCGTGGCCCAATTGACAATGATCCGCTTCTGATCACTTGATGGAGCCGCCGACTGAAGATGATCTCTCTCCGTAGCGCATGCTAGAGCCAATGGAGTTAATACAGACGGAGGAACCTGACGCACACAGTCGAGGCCACAATGAATCTTCGCCTACCGTGCCATCTGCAGGATCGAATGAACCTCCCCCTGCTGCACAACCTGCAGAATCAGATGATCTTGCTTATAATTGCCACCCTTATATGGTTTCTGATTTTGCAGATCTTGTCCGCTCGATAGAAGAAGAGCGCTCTGCTGTCTGTCCAGAGGACAACAGTAGTCACCTGGCGTGAACGTAGAGGTCCTGTCCATATGGCATTTATGGGAAGATGACTACAACTTCAGACCGCTCCACAGAATCTCATGCCAGGCAGGCATTGATCCAAATGTTTGTGCATACATCCTCTGCATCGTCCAGATCATTTTACTGATGTAACCTTTGCGGATTATTCATGGGCCCTATGGGACAATGGCGGTACAGTGCACACAGCGGGAAGTCTTAACTCTTTCTATCACCAAGCAGTAGATTCTCACTCAGTCTGGCTCGTCCATCAGGAACAGTATGTCGCTGTGCACTTGCAAGCACTACCGGAGAGCAATCTGGCTGAACCTCTTCCTTCCCCTGTACATGCAAGTGCACAGCCGGAGAGCTATCTGGCTGAACCTCCTCCTTCCCCTGTACATGGTCAGGCAGCGTCCCTTCGTATGTAGATCGGACAGATTCTAGCACGGAGAGCGAAGGGACCTCTCCAGAGGATGGTGGCTGTGCCCTCCCATTGTGTTGTCACACAGCTACTGTTTAGTTAGTGTACACACGGCATTGCCTCTGCTCCAAGCACTATGAAGGGATGGTCACTGCCAGCCTCTGCCGCAAAAACTGCGGCCCTTCGTCTTGTACTCATCCCCCCCACCCACTAACTACTTGCCCAGCATGTCGCCGTGGCCTTGATCTGCCATGCTTAAATATCTCCAAACGTCAGCCTGCTTTCCTGCTGACATGTCAGCAACATGCCACGTGCTGCCATTGTTTCCAGGAAGCTGTCGTCGAAAGTATGTGTCGTACTCCACTGCATGGACTATCCCTGATCCCATCATCCACGACATCCTCTCCTAGCATGTCCCACATGCAGTTTTTGGCAGACACCTACTGCAACCATAGACGGATTTCCTTCTTCCTTGCCAGACATCGATGGACTCAGCAGCCTGAAGAGGAAAATAGACTACCATATGCTGTACTGATAGGTTGTCTCTACCAGGGCGAGCTATCGCAGACCAAATCCTGCAGCAGATAAACACCCTTCCTTTGGATCAATCCCTATCGACGTCTGCCCTCAGAGAAGGAATAAATACTGGAGAAACCCAAGAAGCCTGCTCAATGCCACTGCGTGATGAGCCATCTGAGATTCGGCAAGCGTGTGGTTCGCATGCCTTGTGGCGTGAGGGTTATGAAGGGATATCCCATGCAAGTTACTTTCTTCATACATATGATGACAGTCAATACTGCACTCATGTACGGCACCCTGACATGTCATGTCCTATTGGTAGACAGGCTGGAACGGCAACGCCTCTACAATTGTGGTCGGCGTGCCTCTGTGTTCCTAGCATGTAGGACCCACGTAGCCTGTGACATCAGCCTACGCTGTGACATTCGATGCAGCAACTCCACCTGCGAGAATTGGATGTGGTGCTTCTGCAGTCCACAGCCGAACCGGTCCTGTCCGGTTTGTAGGGGTGACCACTTACCGTAGGCAGCGCCGGCTCCTCAAACTCCAAATCATCTGCAACCCAAACACTGACTGGCCTGTTGCACTATTCTAGAGTTGCATTGCTCCAGCGGTGAGTATTTAGAACCCTGTGAAGTTTGTCATATCTCTATTATGTCCTTTGCCACGCGTTTCCCTTCCCTGCACCTCACTCGCTACAGAACTCCGTCTCCTACCCCTTCCCTGTCTCCCTCCCATTGTGTACGACTAGTGAATGTATATGAGCATGATTAGGAGAAGAGAAAAAATATAAGCTGAAGATCCGAAGAAAAATGAACAGGAGTATACCTCCCTCCTTAGTCTGCCTCCTTTCGTAATGTGCACGCGTGCGGAAGGCCCACGGGGGTGTGGGTAACTGCTGGCGTCCAACTACGGTCAGCGTGACCAACCTTGTACATGAGAGGCATAGTAAAGGGGAGCTGCAAGAGAAAATGAAAGGGGTACCCCAAAGAAAGCCAAAGTAAGCATAGTTGGCATAGCAATTTCAATGGATTTTAATAATTTATTATTCAATTTTATCGTGCTCGATGTTACATGCTATAGAGATCAAACTGTTTCATTGCTGGAATTTCTCCAAGGCCAAAGTGTGCTTCGTTGTCTGCAATAGGACTAATAACTAAAGCTTCTTCTATTTTTGGATCTACTCATTTATGTGGAATAAGGGCTGTTGTGGAGAAAGTCCAAAACACACACACACACGCACCTCCTGATGAGTCGGTGAAAGTCCGACGAAACAGTCTCTCCGGCACAGTCATGCTTTTTTTTAGTGTATAGCGAATATGACAACACACACACACACACACGCACGCACGCACATATTCTGCCTCCTTTCATAGTGTGCAAGTGGGACATTATGGCACACTGGGATGTGGGCAGTTCGCGCTCAACCATAATGAACGTGGCGAGCCTTGTACACGAGAGGCATAGTAAAAGGGGGGAGCTGCAAGAACAAATGGAAGGGGTACCCCAAAGAAAGCGAAAGTGAACACTGTTAAGAAAGGGGATTCGAATTTTGAACGCTCAACTATATAGCTAAAGCTGTTTCATTGTTCGATTGTCTCAACTCAAAAAGTGTTTTCGTTGTCGGCAATAGGACTAACTAAAGCCGCTTCGATTATTTTTGGATCTGCCCATCTGGGTGGAATAGGGGCTGTTGTGGTGAAAACTGAAAACAGTTCAAAACACACACATCATAGTAAATGGTAATAAAAATTATTATAAAATACTAATAATAAGTAAGAATCAGGGCTCTGGTGACTGTGTGGTTTGGGAGAGACCTGGTGACTTTGAATCGTGAACGGTACGCAAGGGGAGCTGTGAGTAAACGGGTCAGGAGTTCAAAATCCAAATACTGAACGATAAAAGAGTGGTTGCCCTTTGTCATGTCCAACAGAATTTTGTTTGGGAATTGCTATTTGCCGTTTTAACTTTGTGTGACAAGATTGTCACTGAAATGAAGACTCGGTTCTCTGGTGTTGCCATTGGGATGGTTATGGGAGAGATCTGGTGACTTGGAAGCATTGTACACAGTGCTATACGCATATATCTGCGAGTGAACAGGTCATCGTGAGTTCGAATCCTGAAAGATAAGGACTTGTGCCTGAGTTACATGAACATGATTTCTTGAAGGACAGGATGCAATATTGGCTTTGTTTTCTTTTGTGTGATAAAATAGGTCACAGAGTTCGAATGCTGAATGCTGCAAGCCACCCTTTCCGCATCTTTCTACCACTTCCCCTACCTGACCGCCGTGGTGTGGCCATGGCCAGACTCCTCTAGGATATCTAAGCTTTTACTCATGTCTGTTGTGTTCATGCCTTTCGTGTAACTCTCTCTGCAGTGAAGCTGCTAGTCCCCTTCTAAGCCTGGGTAGTTCACCAGTTCAAAGCTTAGGCTCTCTGGTGAATGTGTGGGGACCACATCAAATCCATGCACCATGCCTGCGTTCTTTGCATGATGGCGGCAAGAGCACGGAGAGGATGGGCTCGTCTCTTCAATTGGCAAATCACACAGCTTTTCCCAAGCATCGGGAGGTATCCTTTGTCATCGGGGGATATGGGGATGGGGCCAGAGGGGGGTGGATGGAGAGGGGGGTGGGGCGTGACCAGGTAAGGGGAGGATGAGCTGAATGATTGGTGTCATGAGATGCATATGTGGATGGGTTCCTGCATGAGATGTGAAAAGAGAAGAGAGTGGCCCCTTCCTGCCATTGGAAGAGGAGGATGCTGGCTTGTTTCGGACGATAGTGTGGCTGATTAATGTGGAGGATTCTGTCCTTCACAGGATGGATTGAGCGGCTGGAGTGGTGATGATCATGATGGGCATCGGATGGCGAAACACGTTTGGTGGTGCGGCACTTTGGGCCTCTGCACTGTCCTTCCTTGTCATCTCATCGCGTGGAAATATCATCATCACCACCACCACCACCACCACCACCACCATCGCTTTTACCTCTTCAAGTAGCAGGCGCGCATTGTGGACGGAAAAGGGCAGCGTCGTCATCGTGCAAAAGCGGCAGAGCTTTTGTTCATGATGTTGCTTCAAGCTCGAAGATGGATAGGGTGAGCTAGTATCTGGATCGTCTGGAACGGGCCCGCCGTCATGCGAAAGTAGTGAGGTTCGGTCCTCCTCATTTCCACGCTTCTGGATTTTTCTCCTCTATGTTAAACAAAATGACATTGCCGGTTTTTCCAACTGTCTGCCAAATCCACGACAACAAATCAAAAGAACATGAGGGGGATGCTTGCTGTGCATACTTGGTCATGTCTTTCGACAAAGACATTGTTGCGATATGAGAGCGGGGGTTCGTGTACCGCATCCGTGCTGCATTTGGAATTGCCCCGAGAGTGGTGGGTGGTTGTTTTTGAAGCAAGCAATTATCACAACAGTTTCTTGCTGTGCGGAATCGTGAGGCGTAGGTTATCGAAGCTAACATCAAATGTCAGCCTCACAATCTGAGCGCACGATCGAGGACCGCTTCTTTCTAATGTTTTCAGGTTGTCAGAGAATGATGATGAGACTGGAGGAGAGGGAGGAGTGAGACGAGAGGAGGAGGTTTAGCGTGCGCATTGTGCAACGAACGGTATGTATGTATGTATGTGCAGTTTGTCTTGATTTCGGTAGCCAGATCCTACCGGTACTAAGACAAAAAGGCCTGGGTGCTATGTTGGGATTTTGAAAGAGTCCATGAGAACAGCTTGTGAACTGCGTGCTGTCGGTATGCGTAAGGTTTGTGCATGTGTCAGCATGCGTGTGTCGTCGGAAGTGGCTCATGATACTGGCAAGGCCATAGCGACCAACTGTGCACAAAGTTCCGTAGCGAGGGTCCTTTGCAAGGATCGTTGGCGTCTCCTTTTCCCCCCGCAAGGGGCGCAGGTGAGTTAGCAGCACACTGATGTTTTCTCCATGTGTCAATGGAGGCTATTGTTGACACACAGAGACACACATGCTGATGTGGCGACGTGTATGTGAAAGCTAGATATCTGTATTTCTGTAAAGGGCCCTTCAAAAGTTACAGCCTTGTTTACCAAGGAGGGACTTGTTGACAAAGAAAGAGCCTCATTGCCAGAGGAGCTCAGATGGAGACGTATCGGGACCACCTTTATTCGTGTGACAAATAGTGACCAAAGCCAGAGAGGGAGCCAGAGAGGGAGGGCAAACGGGGCGGGGCGGATGCGAAGTGAATATGGAAGACCATCAGTGTAGGTGGTGAGGATTCAGAAGGTATAAGACAGCAGGCCTGTCCTCAGTGCAGAGAGCAGTCATGTGCACAGAGAGCAGTCATGTGCACATAGAGTGTGGGTGGTTCTCTCATGCATGTAACGACCCATGTCGCATGTGATTGGATTGAATTTGGTGTAACTGGAATGGTGAGTTCACTTTCTGTGCGAGGAAGACAAACGGTGGGTGGTGGGTGTGTGGCAGGCGTGTGCACATGCAGGGTTCTCTCATGCAAGTGACGACCCATGTCGCATGTGATTGGATGGAATTGGGCGTAGCTGGAATGGTGAGGTCACTTTCTGTGCGAGGAAGACAAACGGTGGGTGGTGGGTGTGTGGAGCAGAGAACACAGCGTAATTGGATTGGTAAGGTCACTTTCTGTGCGAGGAAGACAAACGGTCGGTTGGTGTGCAGGCCATCCGCAGAAGCCAGAGCACCATTCAAATTCGTGACGCATACGTTTGGGGTGAAGGGTTTCCTGTGCGCACACACACACACACACACACACAGAGAGACACAGAGAGAGAGAGAGAGAGAGAGAGAGAGAGAGAGAGAGAGAGAGGAGGTGCAAGTATCTGTCAGAAAGCGGAAGCTCTATTGTCTGAATCATGAGATTTCTGAGGAAGGAAGGTTTGTCGGTCAGTTTTAATCTGGTAAGCTATTCACGTCGGTCAATTCCGCTTCCCGCCCAGGGCAGAGATTGAGTGACATGAATCAGTTTGTTGAATTAAAGCGTGCACAATCGCCGTTTGTTTTTTTCGTTTGTTTGATTTTCTTTGTAGGCGCACTGCCATCCGTCTACCTTTGGTAGCCCTGTACTGCGGAATGTCAGATATCCACATGCTATTGTGAGACAGTTGTAGTTATATGCCCCTCTGTTTATGGGCTCTGGGAAGCTGGGTCTGTAATTGCAGGGATCAGATTTTATGAAAGAGAGAGGGTTCATGGGAGAGAGAGGAGGGGGTTGCGGATGGAAAGCTGGCCGAAGGAGAGGCTGGAGGGGGGACATATAGATGAGAAGAGGCACAATTAGAATCGTTCTTCCGGAGAGAACAAAGGGGATGGAATTGCAGAGATGAAAGAGGGAGATTTGGGAGGGACGAAAAGAGATCGATCTCCTTTGTTCTGGCAGGAGATGTCAACTGCAAAGTGAGCAGGTGTGACAGAGACAAAGGCGAGAGAGAGAGAGAGAGAGAGAGAGAGAGAGAGAGAGAGAGAGAGAGAGAGAGAGAGAGAGAGAGGATCCAGTATGTCTTGTGAGAAATGAGAGGTGGAGAAAGGAAGAGAAAAGAGGTGATGCAAGGGGAGAGAGCAATGAAGGAGGTTAAGAAAAGACCTTTGTGCACTCTATTATGGCGGAGTTTGGATTTGTTTATTCAGAGATGGAGAAGGGTGGGGCAACGGGCTTGCATTGTGACATGGTGTATGCAAATTGAGGCAGCAATAGGGGACAGGGTCCGAGATTGGTCCCAAACGGGAATAATGCAGCAATTGCGTTCATTATTCCAAAAAGGAGAAAGTAAAAGAGAAGGGGGGTGCTGGAAGGGCAGGAATGTGGCTCTCCCATGCTGCAGAGGGCAAGAAGCTTGTTGGGCACAGGAAGACGCGGTTGTTGGGAGTGACAGAAGTGCCTGGCTTTCATGGCAGCCGCCTCCGTTTCATATTAAGCTTCTCTTTCATGTGTTCTTTGGTGAAGCTTTCTTGGCAGCTGCCTCCGTTTTTGCTCAGCAGCAGATGGATTGGTGAAACCTCGCCTCTGCTTTGCTTGTGAAAAGACAGGCTGTTTTTTTTTTGTTTTTTTTTTCGGGGGGGGGGGGGGGGGGGGGGGGGGGGGGGCAGGGGGCGTGGTAGGGTGGTATAAGTGACGGTTGTGCCTCATGCTTTTGTTGATCTTCTTCTTTGTCCATGGGATGGTTCCATTGTGTGATTACGGAATGGGACGGGTTGTTCCTGCAGGGCGGATTCATACTAGGACGTTTCCAGCTGATCTCCTCTGGGTGCAATTGGGGTCAGATACATCCAGATGTTACTGTAAGTGTGGTCAGATACGTCGAGGAAGTCCAGGTATGAATACACACACCCTTGTCAAAGAAGCCAACGTGCTGATCTCCAATCCCACTCTTCCACTAAGGGCAGGATTGGTAATTGAAGTCGCTGCAGAAGTGGCGGTGGTGCCAGTGCTCCTGAGGAGTGGGTTCCTCAGATGCAGATGCCCAAGCATTTTGCAGCAAGGAATGGTCGGTACTGACACCATGTAGGTCAGGGGAGTGGCTCCTCGATCGCAGCTCTGCTGCGTCCTTCTACCGAGGGAGGCAGCAGCGGGTCGACCTGTCATCGACTGACAAGAAGGTTCTGTATTAACGCCATGTAGGTGAAGGAGTAGCTCTTGCCTCCCAGCTTCGCTTGTTCCGTACTGAGGGAGGAAGCGGGACATCATGTAGGCCAGGGAGTGACGCTTGCCTCCCAGCTTTGCTTCTTCCCTCGGGAGGGTGGTGGTGGGTCCGGGAGTGCCGCTTGACAGGAAGGTTCGTACTAACACCATGTAAGTCCTTAGCAAGGCTCGTCTATCCCAGCTTTGATTCTTCCCTAGCAAGGGAGGAAGAAGTGGGGTGTCCTGTCATCGATTGACAGGAAGGTTGTGTACTAACTACTAACACCATGTAGGTCAGGCTGGGAGTGGCTCTTGCCTCCCAGCTTCGCTATTTCCCCAGCAAGGGAAGAAGCTATGGTGTGTCCTGTCACCCGTCGTCCACGCACATGCTCGTCTCTCACCCTACTAAAGCGTACCGGCCGCGGGCTGTATATGCGGCAGCCACTGGAGGTTGCGTGCCGTAGGATTTTTCATCAGCGGCTGTGCTGGGGTCGAACTTTCAGCGCCTCGAATGGCCGCCCCCCACGTATGTGATTTCCGGCAATCCAGGGAAGCTGTCAGGTCAGGAATTGTGGGACGTTCGATGTAAAAATCTGGCACGCATGATGCGGCGTGAGAACCTCTTTTGGGCGTGGGATGTGATGTAGGTCTACGTAGGGTGTGTGTGCTTTTCTTGCGTCTTCTGTTTCGTTTTGTTTCGTTTCGTCGTTTTCTTTTGGCTTCCTCTTGGGTGTGCAATGTGATGCTCATCTACGTTGGGTGTGCATCGGTTCAAAATTCGAATAGTCGTGTCCCTGCTTCGCTTTGTTGGATTCTTTTTTCTTTTTCTTTTTCTTGTTTATGGTTTTCTTTTCTTTGTTTTTCAGTCTGCCATGCGGCATGCTGGTTTTCTTTTGTGTTATGGATGGGCACTCCGACTCTGCAGAACGGAACGGAACGGTCATGTCTGCAGCGTGGTGGTCGCTTTGTTGTGAAAATCCATCAAGAAAAAAAAAAGAAAAAAAAAAAGGCCAGTCTGTCAGACTGCTAGCACGTTCCCAACTTCTGGGCTCTGTCTGACCCTTGGGCCTTTTTTTTTTTTTTTTTTTTYTTAACATTTGACCACAAAGGACAGATCAGGTCTGGTTAAAACACCAGTACAGTATTTCGGCATATTATCCGTTAAAAGTTAAAAAACTGGAACGATACAGAGAAAGAAGATTAGCATGGCCCCTGTGCAAGGATGACACACATACATCGATAAATGGTCGAAATTAATAAATTTATAAATTTATCAAAAAAAAAAACAAATTAAATAAAAAATGCACCAGTACCCTCCTGGGGTAGGCTTTGGGTTCACCAGCGGAGATTGTTGTCTTGGGCCTCCTGGCTGGTCATGGAAGTTTAGTCGGTCTTTCCAGCCCGCGCCAGGTGTTAGGACTCGGGACCTTGGGTGCTGCTCCCCGCACAGAGCAGAGATAGGCTTAGATCTGCTTGCTCCTCTCTACTGGCGTAAATGATGACTCTGATGACTCTGCAGGTAGGCATGGACCCATAACCTTAGGATAAATTAGGCATACATAGTACATTTAAACCACCGGTACACCCGGGCCTGGAGGCACCTTACTGCGCACCAAGCTTTTCTGAAACGCCAGCAGCGCACTTTTGCTCTGTTTTGGCTGGCACTGCCAGGCATTGAGAGAAGGTTAACGGAGACCCTAATTTTCAGACCACTTGTCATGCCATTTATAATAAAGAAAACCAAAGGGTGGGTCATTTTAATCAAACTTGCCACCAATTCATAGAGTGGAGACGATACCAACCAAGTGCAAAAAGAAAACTGGAAAAAAAATTAAGAAACATATAAAACAGCAAGGCAAAAGTGAAGTTTCATGAAATTTTGCCAACAAAAAAAAAAAAAAAATTGCCAACATTCCAATTTCAGAAATCTTGAGAAATTTCAGAAATCTTAACAGAGGAAATTCCAATGCTCCCCGTTGACCACTTGTGGAGGCATTGTGGTCCGGCGGTAGCCCAAGCCTCCATAATTTTCATAGGCTACGAGGTGCATTTTCAGCAATGCTGGGGCCGTGTGCTGGCGGTTTCCTCGGGAATAGATGCGACCCATTAGGTAGGTGTAGGTAGTTAGGGTGAGATAGATATAAGATTAAGAGAAGAAAGGTAGGTGTAGGTAGTTAGGTGAGGTAGATATAAGATTAAGAGAAGAAAGGTAGGTGTAGGTAGTTAGGGTGAGGTAGATATAAGATTAAGAGAAGAAAATAGGGTAGTAAAAAAATACAGTTTGTCCCCCAGACATGAGGAGAAGACAGCTGTGTTTTTTGTTTTTTTTTTTAAGAAAAAAATGCAGCTTGCCCCTCTCACTCGCTCACTCCCTCTCGCTGTGTGTTTGTTTGTTTGTGTGTGTGTGTGTGTATAGGGTAGTAAAAAAATACAGTTTGTCCCCCATACATGTTTTTTGTTTTTTTTTTAAAGAAAAAAATGCAGCTTGCCCCTCTCACTCGCTCACTCGCTCCTTCGCTCACTCACTCACTCGCTCTCGCTGTGTTTTTGTTTGTTTGTTTGTTTGTGTGTGTGTGTGTGTGTGTGTGTGTGTGTGTGTGTGTGTGTGTGTGTGTGTGAGAGAGAGAGAGAGAGTGTGTGTGTGTGTGTGTGTGTGAGAGAGAGAGAGAGAGAGTGTGTGTGTGTGTGTAGCGAGTGCTTGTTGGGCAACTCACGTGCATGTGTGTCGTCATGGTCACCATACAGCCCAGCAACTCGTGCGAATGTCTGCATCTGCTTCTGCTGCGTGTGTGTGTGCGCATGTGGGTGTGCGTTCATGTGCCTCCTTTTTTCCAAGGAAAAAAGAAAAACGATGGACCACGGATTAGAACAGAGTGTAGCACGGCGGGAGGGTGGGATGGGGTGGGCGTCAGCGAGTGTGTGCGTTCCATTTTGGTCGGGCCCCATTTCCCTTCGTGCGGTGTCTTTTGTGCACACACAGCCGAGCCTCCGGCTTCGAACCTGGCGAAAATCGTGTTGGCTCTTGGGGCCCTGGGGGTCTATGTCCCGCTGATGAGGGCTTAGACTTGGTTCCTAATAAGCACCAATTCCTGCCATCGGATCTGAACATCATCTCACGGGCCCACTGTGGCCTCGTTGAAAAATGTTTGAAAGGAAGACTGAGCCCCCTTAGTGGGACTTCGGGCCTCGGCACAATGGAAACGAACAGTTTGTCCATTCGATACTCTGTTCTGACATAAACGTACTTCCCCCTTTTCTTTTTCTTGTGTTCTCACAATCCATTGAGAATACCACCTTCTTCCCCCGAATACAATGTACGGTCAGTGTAGCTGCATTTAGACTGAAAGATACCCCAAATACAGCTATAACGACCATACGTTGTATTTGGGGGAAGAAGGTAGGAAAATACTTCGAACAAGTTGAAAATAAGAAAATAAGAGCATACTTCACACGAGCACAATCTTAAACCACCAGTACTTGGCCCAGCTATCGGCCGCGGAAAAAAAAAATAGAGTAGAAACTTTTCTAGTTGGATGAATTTGGGCGCTCCTGTAGTGGCCCGTACGTTTCCTAAAATCGAGGCGCGTTAACGGGCTCGACTTTAGGAAGTAGGGTGGTAGGTTAAAAAAAAAAAAGGAAATACTGGTGGTTTAAATCAAGTTAAATGTTTCTGAGGAATTCTGACCAAACTACCTTCTTCCCCCGATACAACGTACGGTCATTATATCTGTATCTAGACTGAAAGATGCCCCAAATACGGCTATAATGACCTTACGTTGTATTCGGGGGAAGAAGGTAGGCTTCCAGCCGGGCCCGCTGGGGTCACCTCGTTTTCCTGGGCGGCCCGGCCATCCATGGAACAAGGAATGTCCCGGCAAAAAAAGAAAAGGAAAAAAAATCTGAAAAAGAAAACTGCGTTATGCAGGAAAAAAAAAAACTGAACAGGCTTCCAGCCGGGCCGCCCGGGCCACCTCGTTTTCCCGGGCGGCCCGGCCATGCATGGATCAACGAATGTCCTGGCAAAAGAAAGAAAAGAAAAAAAAATCTGAAAAAGAAAACTACGTTATGCAGGAAAAAAAACTGAACAAGTTTTGCTGTAGGGTCACATCGAAATTCTTTGCCAAGTTTGGGAAGTGATCCCGGGGTACTCTGGTAGCCTAGTTCTCACCGCAGTTAGTTCCGGACGTAATTGTGGTCAGATACGTCCCCTACTTGGACGTATCTGACCACAACTGCGTCCGGAAACAACTCCGGATGTGAGTTTGCCCGAAGTTATGTTTAAAC